GGTGCTATTTCAAGGAAAGAGGAAAGAAGGTTCCAAACTTGTCAGGAAATTCATCAGACATTTTCCTAACAGTAGTATTTATATATAAATAAAATTTTATTTTATTTACTTAAATAACTTTATTTAAACTTACTTAATTTTAATAAATTAATAATGAAATGTATTAAATTGGTTTAAATAAAATAAATAACAATTTCACCTTCAAACAAAGGGCTAAACATCTGATAATCTAGCACATGCTTTCCATTTAAAAATATATCTCATAATGTCAAGTAGTGTTCATGTTAAATTAACACTAGATTTCTCATAATGATAAATGCATAGTTTTTAGTTTGTGTCAGATTAAGGGTGTGTCACAAGAGATGTCAGGAAGACGTGGAAAATCAAACCAATTGATATTATCCTTCGATCTATTATCCAGCAAATAAGACTGCTTTTAGCAAAATGTTGTTCTGAATATATATACGATCAAAAGACAAAAGATTTGATTAAATGTTACAATTACATTCAGGTTTCCTTCCCTGATTCTAATTATTTCTGAAATAATATTAAAAGCAGCTGTAGTTAGGGGCAGCAAGAGGCTCTTTATGAAGCCCGTACTTCATCCAGCTTGGCTCCTTTTGGCTTTCACACACCGTGGATTTAAATGTCTGGCGATTTACTGGTGGAGTGGTGGGGTGCGTGTAGGTGGAAAGAATCTTTCACAGGCTCTTTAGATACACGTCAGCTCTATATTGTAGAAAGAAAATCAGAAATTCTCAACTTCCTATAACCTATTTAAGAGTCAGCTGCACAAGCAGGGGCCAGGCAGTGGGAGAAGTCTATCAAAGGGGCAAAGAATAAGTGGGCACCCTGTCTGCAGGGAATCGAAACACAGTGATCAAACCAACCCAGGGTCATCTATTCTTTGTTGTCACCATGTGCCATCTCACCCATGAAATGCTCTCCCTGCCTGCTGGAGCAGACCCCCCTCCACCTTAGTCTGCCGCTCTTCAAGGGAAAACTTTCCTGTGCAATACTGAGCCTTATAGAAAGCATATGTGTTCCAATTGAAACCATCCAGAATGATCCCGCTGAAAATGAAAACTCGGTATGTTTTAAAATACTGGCCTGAGGGGTTTGGGGGTGGGGTTAATGGTATTCAGCCAAGAATTGAGCCAAAGAGAAAAATAACTATATTCTTACCTTTCTTCTCTGGTCATTGTTTAGAGCCCTCTTTTGGACCTTCTGTGTGACAACTGTAGTCATCTTCTCACGGGTCTCTCCTTCATCCCTGGCCACACCCACTGTCACATATCTCATACGCTTTTCAGATCGCACCTTCTTCGTAAAGCAGATAGCTGGCTAGAGCATTCATGCCAAAAAATCTTCGGTCTAATTCTAGCTATGAGACTTAATTCCAAGAAGTCATACATGGTGTCTAATTCATTTTTTAATCACCACAGAACTTAGCTCATGGCTCTGAATAGTCACTCATCGTTTGCTGCCTGATTTAAAAATTCATCCAGTAAATCTGCTTCAAAAATTCCTTTAAGTGATTGCCCTATAATGAGGCATGTTCCATTAATGTGCATCATTTATTGAACACATATTCATTGATCATCTATTATGAGTTAGGTAGGCACTTTGCTGTGTTGACTAATTTTTCTATCCAAATCTGCCTTTCCTTGAGCAATTTCTACATACAGAGGCTTTGTTTGTTTGGTTTTTGGCAAAAGAAACAGGAAGGACAAAAAACTTATCGTAAGATCCCTAAAGTACAAAATTCAGGATTTGGGTTTATTTAGGTTTCAGATCCATCAGTGTTCATGTCAAGAGACCAATGCATGGGTCATGATCTACGTTAGACTATGAGCCTCTAAGAAGACTTGAAACCAGATATTTAAGATCTGACAAAAGACCACTAATGTTAACTAAAATTAGGGGAAAAAGAGGTCAGCTATTATTTCTGTGTTAGTTGCAAATCTGCAAATAGTGATTTTCCCACAATTAGATATTTAGCAACAGTTAAGAACCATGTGTGTGGATGAGTGTGTGAGTTTGCATAAGAGTCTGTGTATCTGAGAATAGTGTGTGTGTGTGTGTGTGCATACTAGTTGTATTGTGTAATCTCAGATAAGAGTGTAAGAAGGAAAAGGGGTTGTGAAAAACTCATGGAAAAAAGCGCTGGAGCCATCATGAAGTCACACATATGTGACTTCCCTTCCTCGGCACCTGGGCTGTTGACTTGCAGGCACGAGGTTTCAGCCATGGGAGCCCACCGTTGCAGCTTCCCATCTAGTTGCTTTAATAGGATGCTGTTCTTTAAGTAAAACCAAAGGGGGCACTCAGGATTCTTTTGGCAACTCTGCCTTAGAATCAATGCAGCCGTTTCCTGCGCAACCTCGGGGGGCTGTCTGCCTTTGGGGAACAGCTCTGGGATTCATGTCCTGTGAAAGGCTTCTGAATGCGGTGGTAGGAGCCCTGTGACCATGCCCTGCGGCTAACCTGATGGAGGCAGTGGCTTTGAGATGGGAATTCCTAAGGGAACCTCAACTCAGGGCAAAAACAAATGATCAAAGAACAAAACCCTGGACTCTATAATTTCACCTGTTTGGGACTCGCAAGAAAGGGATGACATCACTGTGAAATCCTAACTTCATTCAGGTCTCTGCAGACTGACCATCTAAACTAGCGCTCGCTCTTGGATCCTCGCATCATTTCTTTCATAGCAGTCCCTCCATCGGACACCCTATAATGTGTTGATGTGTTTATTTTGCTCTCTGCCTCTTGTTTTTCTAATGGCATGCGAGTCCCAGGAGGGCATGAACTTCGTTGTATCTCCAGGGTCTCACACAGTGCCTGGCCCAGAGCAGGTCCTCATAAATATTTGTTGAATGAACACACGAAGGAATGAATGAACAGATGAATAATATGACTAGTCTCAACTCTGTGTGTGTGTGTGTGTGGGTGTGTGTGTGTGGGTGTGTGTGTGTGTGTGTGTGTGTGTGGGTGTGTGTGTGTGTGGGTGTGTGGGTGTGTGTGTGTGGGTGTGGGTGTGTGTGCACGAGCGCGTTGACTCTGCTCTGCCCAGCTTCTTGCCTTTGTAAGAGTTGCTTGACCAATGACTTTAAACACAGCAGGAAGTTCACAGGTTTCTTGATTCTTGAAAAATAATAAATGAAAATACAAGTATAATACCCATAAAATATGTGCCTAAAGAACCCCTCTTAACAGGAAATAAGAGGTTCTCTGACATGCTTACAAACTGGGCCAAACGGGAGCTTATAAGTAATTCCTGAGATAACCGACAAAGGGTCAGCTTACAGGCGCAAGCCCGAGGCCCGGTCAGATTGCCATCTCTGTGTGGTCTGGCCTCCTGCAATGTCACAGACAATCTGTCATTGCAGAGCAGGTGGCCAGGCAGAACTTTGGATGTGGATACAGTGACAATGTCAGTTGCTAACCAGGGCCGTCACTGTGCTATAAGGAGATGATTGCTATTAAGTTGCAATTTGCACTGGACAGGGGCCAAAGAGTCTCCCCATATAGGCCAGTCCCCATACAGGGGACATTATGTGCTTCATTAATTCAACTGCACACACTCAAAACTGCTCTAGATGCTGGGGATTGAGTGTGCAACGAGACAGACACAGGCCCTCCAGTCCTTGACTTCACTTTCCTGATCACATCTGCCGAGCTGCTTATATATCTTTGTCAGGTCACTTACAATACCCACCTGTGCCTTGTGGGGACTCGCAAAGACCCTCAAACATTTGTAAGTTCTCTTAAATTTCCAAGAAAAGTCCCCATTTCTATATTCTGTTAAATATCAATGTTCAAGGGAGCAGCAGAATAGAAACAGCATTGTGGCAGATATAAGGAGATGTTTTTACTTGTTTTTACTACTAATTAGCAATTTGATATTAGGCCAGTGGTTCTCAGCTCTGGCTAAACCTTAGGACCACCTAGGGAACTTAAAAAAATACCAGTGCCCATCCTCCACTTCAGACCAACAGGAACAGAATCTCCAACAGTAGGGCCAAGACTGGGCAAATCTCTGTACTTTCTTTCTCAGTCTTTAAAATGAGAGTAATCACAGCTTCCCCAACTAGTCTGGAAGGATTTCTTATATAAAACTTAGGTGGCAAATGGCAAATAATTTTAATATCTACATAAACAATGTGTTTATTTTGGTCTACGCTCAAAAATGCAAGAGTGTATCCAAAGATGACTAAGCTTTTGTGGATGTGACAGGGTAATATGTCAAAAGAAAAGGGAAACAATGTAGTTTCTGAACTTCTCTGCCCCTGATTGCTCAGGACTCTTTAGGTCACACTAGATAAGATGCTGAATTTTTAAAGAGACAAGAGCAGATAGTTTTGTAATTTCTGGACACTTCCAGTGGTAGCAGAATCAACATCATTAAAACCATGAATTAAGACACCCTAAGTTCAGTTTATTTCCCCCTCAGGTATTTTTGTTATGACTGTTTTCAAGGGCTACTGCCTGGGCACTGCGGTAGCCACTAAAACATGGGCAGGTCTCAGAAGATTCTCATCAGTGCCCAGCAACTGGAGATGCGGAGGAAGCTATACATCATAGGTGATGCCTTATAAAGGGGATTTATTGAAAAAGCTCAAGTGCCGTCTCTCAGGGACATTGCCTCAGAACTGGATTGCAGGGAACAACTGCCTGGTACAGAGCACCCCAGGGGCTTCGTCTTGAGTCCCTATTGATGGAGAGCCCTTGAATCAATATTGAGGGAAGTCTGTGCAAACTCGGTGAAGAAGTTTATGTTCCAATAAGATCCCTGTTAATAAAATTAATGTGACAACCAAAGTCTTCATTGCAGTGGAATTTGTTTAAAATGGCTCTATTGGAAATTATGCCCTCAGATTATAAGAGATGGGACCAAGCGGATATCCAGACATAAGCAAAATAAATATTGTGATTCAGCCAGAAGGTGCCCCTTTATCAGTCACATAACCACATTCTTTACTTAAAAAATCAAGTAGCTTCTTTTATTGCATTCAGGGGAAGTATTTTCGTACTGTGGAGGCATCCATTTTCCTGGATTATTTGTTGTACAGAATTCTGTATGATAACATAGTTATTATCAGTAACGAAATGGTCTGATATGTGATAACATAATTATTATCAGTAATGAAATGGTCTGATATGTGAAACCTAGTTGTATAGAAACTTTTAATACCCTATGTATATCTTTTTTTATGGAACTTTACAAGTAATTATACAAACATTATTAAATAATTACTATAATCAGGAACTATGTCAAGCACATTACATACATTTTATCCCCCCTATAGCTCCCTGAAGGAGAATTTTACTATCTAGGTTTTCTTGAAAGAAATTGTGACTCAGAGAGGTTAAGAAACTTCCTCCAGGTCATACAGCTAAAGGTGATGTTCTGATTCCAGATATTCTAACTCCAAAGCCTTAACTCTTAACTAGTCTCTGTTCTTTTCTGACCCACTAGCTACTCTAGATAATGATTCTGCTATTGAGTTACTCATTGGCAGCCTTACCGTTGGCCAAGTTGTGGGATGCAGGCCAGATGTGTCCTTAACATAATAAAGGGCAAAAATGAGAAACGAAAGGGTTAGGATTTAGTGCAAGCCCAACCCTTGGCTATAATTGCTCAAATGCAGAAGTACAGGCACCTGATATCCAAAGACTGTGACCAATTCATAGGAAGTGGGTGACTGCCCAGCAGTGGAACAAGAGGAGATGGGTGACAACTGTGGCTCTACGAGTAAGGCTGCTCCCACCAGTAGCAGGGCCCACTTATCAAATGGGGTTCCACTGTGGTGCTCAACTATTTAAAACAAAACAGAGAAGTAAAAGTTGAATTGCAGGAATAAGGCCCCAGAGAAAGAACAAAAGCACTTAGAAGCAAACAAAGAATCCTGTCACCCCTGAAGCAAATAATCCCTGAATCCCATCAGCAGCAAAGAAAACCTAAAGGACAAATGGGGCCAGAGACCCACCTGAGGTTCCTAGGTATGAGGAAATGGTTAATGCCAAGCTCCACTAGTTGGCCAGGCTGAGGGCATTATAGTATTTTTTTTTTCTTATGTAGAAATCAGTATCAGACTCAGCCCATGAATGAGCAGAGATCTGAATGGTGACAACTGGCAAAAGAGTTAATAAGGTCAGGAAGGACTATTAACACCAAGCACTAAAAAAAACCCCAACAAAACAAAATAAGATGAAACAGTGATGGTACCTCTGACCTAAGTAATTCAAACTAAATAGAAAGTAATTACATTATAACAAAGTATTTTTTCCTATGATGAAAAATTAGTGGGTGTTTTAGTAAAATATTAAATATATACATATTTAATATATTTTAAATATATATTATATATTTATAATATATTATAACATAATATATTATAAATTTGTTATAAGTATATATAATATAGTACATATTTTAAATATATATATTTTTAATTTGGGTACCCCTGATCATATGCCTAATTTTTCCCTAGACTGGATAAAAAGTCACAAGTTTTATACTTGGTCTGAAAATGAGCTGATTAAATCTCCTGCAAATTTGCAGGAAAATAGTTCATGGAAATCTGAACCATCTTTAGAATATATCAGACTTAGTGAGTCTCCACATGGTCATGCCATAGTGCTTGGGTATGTAACAGTGGAAACCCATAGCTCTGAATGTCAAGTCCAAAGGAAAGGATGGCAATTAATATCCAAGAATACAATTAAGAAATACTCTTGCCACTGGAATGTAAATCACCACCTTCCTATATACAATATTTCTTGTTTCCAAAGCCACAGCCTGCAGCAGCCTCAAAATTTCCTTAGCTAGAGCCTTGTGCCAGTGATGTAGCCTTTGATAATTCTTGCAATAAAAATCCAGTCATGCTTGACATTTAGGAGGGAGCAAAAGGTTTGATTTGCCTCAGGGACCTGGAACCCTTATAGAGATACCTTTAATGAGAAATGAAAGGCAAAATAAAAATTAGGGGTTCAAAAATTGAGCCAAATAAAAAAGGGTGCCAAATTACTAGGCACCGGGTGGCCTTTAAAGGTTCTAGGTAAAGAGAGGACCATTTAGTGGAGGTTTTTCCTTGTCAGCTATTGGCAAGATGGATTTTGGAATAAAGTCCTTGGGCCGCTGGAATAAAGACAATTAAGAACAAGGCTCCCTCACCCACCTCACAAGCATGCTTATACTTTCAAGAAAATCTGAGCTTTCACTAAGTGGCCCATAATAGCAATAACAGACCACACCCTTTCTATAGGATCTAATCCAATGAGATGTGCTCCACTCACATTTTCATTTAGCTCTTGCACTCAGTTCCTTGGGTTAGCTTTGCCCCATTTCCTATGGGTGGGGTCTCTAGTTATGTGCTTTCCTCTGTCATGTAAAAAGCAGCCATTTTACTCTCCAAGCCCCTTTTGTTGAGTGTGAGCCAAATGCCTGCCTGTCTTTTCACATTCCCTTAAAGTCAGGGCCCTAAGTAATTTTTGGCTGAGGACATGCTCTAACAGAGATGGTGACCTCTGTCTCCCCAAGTGTGCTTCTGTTCACACCCGCTAGTCAGCGCAGTCTAACAAAAAGTTTGTGTGCAGATGGCTTCCAAGAAAATTTAACTCCTAGCAGGGGAAGGAAAATGTTCTTGGAGAGGAATGATTCCTGGGAATACGCAAATAAGACAAGGAGAAGCTTGGCATTTCCTCCACCAAGCCCAGTGTCCATAACCACCGGCTGGAATTCCAGAGAACCTCGCTAATTACAGTGAGGGCCTCCTTCAGGCAGCATCACCATCACCAGTGAGAGATGCTGAAGCGCAGATCCCAGGCCTGCTCCGGATCTGCTGCAGAAGAAATGGCGCTCCCCAGGTTCCTCATATGCAGATTCTTGTTCAAGGAATATTGGCCTAGGACAGGGAATTTAAACCTAGGTTACATAGGAATCAACCAGGAAACATAAAAAAAATTACTGATGTCTGGGTGCCACCCCCAGAGAGTCCTAGCTGATGGGCCTGGGGTGTGGCCTAAGTACTGTGATGTTTAAAAGCTCCCCAGGAGATTTTGAGGGGCAGTCAGGATTGAGAGCCACTGGCAGAGGCAGGGGAGGGCTACTTCCATTACACCCTCTTTGCCCTGCAGTCGAACAGTGGGGTTCCTGGTCAGAAGCTCTTTTTCCTATGGGCTGGCTGCCCCGGAGCTGCACTGTAAGTGGGGGGGGGGA